AACCCTGAGCAGTTGCTATTGAGTTAGCTTTTATGTTCCTGGTTTTAGTCAAAATACACTCTTAGAGCTAATGTTGTATTCCAGCTGGTGGTTTTCCTGCCTGCCCTGTGCCGTAAGATGGGGGTTCCCTACTGCATTATCAAGGGGAAGGCCAGGCTGGGCCGTCTGGTCCACAGGAAGACCTGCACCACTGTCGCCTTCACACAGGTCAACTCGTGAGTATGCAAGGTGGCCCCCAGCTCCCAGCGGTCAGTAGGGGTCAGCCACCCTCTCCCCCAGTTCTTCATTCCTCGGGATTTTCCCTGAAGATCAAACGACATACCTTAAAGGAAGATGTTTATCCGAATCTTTGCCGATGATGGCTACGAATTTCTTCACCTGAATAAGCCATGTAGTCATACTGTGTCTGAGGCAAAGGGCTGGTTGGGGCTAACAGCCCATCCACGCTTTCTGGAAAGGTAGCTGAGAAGCCAATGACCCCCATTTTCCCCCGGCCTTTTTAGGGAAGACAAAGGAGCCCTGGCAAAGCTGGTGGAGGCCATCAGGACCAACTACAATGACAGATATGACGAGGTAAGCAGCAGCCTGACACACGACGCGGCCTCGGGCACGCACACGACGCCGTCTTGGGCATGCCGAGCCGGCTCCTGAGCGGTCAAGTAGAAGACCACAGGGGCTGACCTAGTTTTGAGAGCCTTGAAGGAGGCCGCACTGACCGCCCCCCCCCCTTGTTGTTGCAGATCCGCCGCCACTGGGGAGGCAACGTCCTGGGCCCAAAGTCTGTGGCTCGCATCGCCAAGCTGGAAAAGGCAAAGGCTAAAGAACTGGCCACCAAACTGGGTTGAGTGGATGCTGTTGAATTTTCTGTACATAAAAGTAATAAAACGTCGTGTTTCAGCCAGTGTCAATTGGGATTTACAGTTGAATATAATTGATCTTCTGTCAGTTTGGGAGGGCGGCAAGTGTTTTCAAACCCAGGGTCTGTACTGGGCACAGGGCAGGAGGTGTGGGTTGACCTGTTCTGAACAAGCAGCCTCAACCACTCAGTTGCACATCGTACTTGAACATGCTGACAAAGCTTGGATTTCATGATCAAGACCGTTAACTAGAACAGAGTGGCAGGCAGACGGCAACAGGTGTGTAAGATTTATTTGTACCAATAGTTCCCGATCCCATATAAAAACAGCCTCCTGATTTATCATGGTCCTTCCGCTCATTAGCTAATCTCACACACCAGGACTCCGACGTAGGAATTTCTTAAACCACAGGTAGGCTGTAGCTGCACAGAGTCCATACCTAGGGTTGAAGAGATGAACAGTCAGTGTTTGAAGGGGAAGACTTGGGAGCAGCTAGAGACCGGGACTTACCAGGTAACGATGTACTGCATGTGCTCATTCCTCAGAGTGACTCGGGTTTGCCCTCCAATGGGTCCCCCGGGGACTGTGCTCCCTGCAGAAGACAGTGGGCTCGGTGTCCACAATCACAGTGTGTCTCCCTACAGCACTTTGGCCAGCTGTTTCCGTGGAGCCTTCCAGAGCTCTTGCATGGCCAAAATTCAGTGAGACTTTTTTTTTTTTTTTAACCCGTAACCAGCCCCATGTTGCCTCCTTCCCTCAGTATCTGGCAGGCATCTACACTTCCACACACGCTAAAATGTAAGCAGTAGCAAGTACCAAAAATGTCAGGGCTGAGAGGAAGATAGAACCAGGTATTTACAAAAGCTACGTGCTCGGGTGCCTGGGTGGCTCAGATGGTTAAGCGTCTGCCTTCGGCTCAGGTCATGAACCCGGAGTCCTGGGATCGAGTCCTGCATCGGGCTCCCTGCTCCTTGGGACCCTGCTTCTCCCTCTGCCTCTCTCTCTCTTTCCCTCTGTCTGTCTCTCATGAATAGACAAAATCTTTAAAAAAAAAAAAAAAAGCTACATGTTCTTCTGGGGTGGGCTGGTCACAACGTACGGAAGTCTGCATCGATGAAGATGGGGTCTGCGCCTGTGAGCCTGGCCATGGCCTCCAGGTCCCGGTAATGCCAGTGGTTCCTTTCGGGATTGTTCTCCGGGACAAAGGGCTTCCTAGTTTCTGTCAGCCTCACCATCCCAACTAGGTCTACTTCTCCCTTGATCTAGAAAGGAAAACAATATTGCTTTTCAGGGCCTGGTTTCTAGAGAGCCCTGCTCACAAGGGAGGGTTCACACCCCTTACCTGGCCTTTCTGCCGTGTATCAGGATTCACCTTCTTCCTGGGGACAAACCCTCTATTTACCAGGATGGTGATTCTGGAGTAATAGGAGGATGCTCTTTCAGGTGGGGAAGGGTTTTGGAATACAGATTATCACTGGTCGTCCTGGGAAGGGTTTAAAACGGGGAGGTAGCTGCAGGTGTGCCATGGGGAAGGTCCTTTCTCCTGCCCGGGTCTTGATTGGCAGGGCCATCAACTCCGAAGACAGATCTCCAGTGTCCCTGGTAACAGCCCCCATCTCTGCTTCCCTCTGTGTGCCTCACCCTCGGCCAGGGTTCAAATACCCACTTCCCCAGTTGACAGCAGCTGCCTTGTGTACCTGCCTCCAGTATCCCCTTGGGGTGGCGGGGACACCCTCCCAGACCCATAGCTGGGAAGTTGCTCTAGCTGATCTTGCAATGCCCCGTTGCCGGACAGGTCATTTCCTCTCCCCGTATTGCCCTTCCCATCTCCTGACTCCAGGCGTGGCCCAAGTAGTCCCCTCGGAACCCTTCCGTAACCCCACCCCCTCCAGGCAGAGTTGGGGTGCCTTTCCTCTCAACTTCCTCTCACCAGCCCCCCCTCAGGCCACACCACAACCATTTAATGTGTTGGCCACGAGACAACTGCTCCAGAGTGGTTGATTTCATTCACCCCTACGGAAAGCTCCACACACAGGAACGACTCAGTAAGAAGTGAAATGACCTGGCTTAATGTCAGAAATAGAAATTCCAAAGTCTCAAGGAATTGAACCTTTCTGGGTGTCTTGGATTTGCCCAAGGTTGGTGCTTCGCTGCATGTTCTACTCACCCCAGGTCAGTGCAGTGGAAGGGGGTGATGATGTAGGCACCACTCTCGGGTGAGGAAGAGAGACGGCCAGCCTCCTGGGCCTCCCGGGCAGGGTCCACCATGGTCCGAGGCATCATGTACAGCTCCTTGGAGTGGTCAAAGTGCCCTCTGACCTTCACTGGCCTGTACTCCAGATTCTTCAGTTCCATTGGGCTACATGGGAGTGGGGACAAGTGAGGCTGCAGCCAAGCAAGGTTTGGCAGGAAGTTCAAACGCTTCCGGGGCTGCACGTCGCAAACACGGCACACGTTTGCTCCCCCGAATGGAAAGCTTTGTTGACCCTATCTGTCCCTCTAAGACAGTGCCTCAGAATGAGGGGTAGAGGCAGTAGAATCACTTAGGGCACTTTTTCAAGATAATGTTCTCATGTCAAGACATGACATGAAGATGCACTCTGCCCTCACCCACCAGGTAAGAATTACTGCTATAGGGGCCCATAAGCACTGGGGGGGATCCCTCAGGTACAACGCATCTGAAAAAAAAGGTAAAACTCAGGATCAAAGATATTCTTCTAGGCATGTCAGGCAGCTTCCCAAGGGTGATCAGGAAGCCAATAAGACAGCTGATTTTGAGGGCTCCCATCTGAGGGTCAGGACTACAAGCAGAAGCCAGGCCCTGCTGCTGACCTCAAGTGAGACCAGCCCCAGGTGGGCAGCCACACACTCACTCTGCTGGCAGGGGGATGGGCTCAGCCGCAACTCTAGACTCCAGCTCTGCTATCAGCTTCAGCTTCCACTTTCGACGCTGGACCTATGGAAACAGTGCAAACCCGAGCAGATGGCAACAAGGTCAAAAGCTCAGAGCCACCAGAGCTAGAAGCCTGTCTTTACCTGCCATGTCCCCAGGCCAAAGGCAGTCACAGGAATGAGAAGCAGGAACCACTGGAAGAAGGAGTCGTCCTGCGCTTTTGTGGCAGGTGCCTCGGCTGCAGAACTGCCACACCGGCTTGGCCTCCAGGCCAAACCTAGGAGGTTTTACAACACAGGCATGGGGTCAGAAGCCCTCGACAAATAGAAGTGGAGCAGTCAATTCCTCAAGGAGACGCCACCTTTACTGCCGGAAAGTGAACAGACCACAGCCTGTGGCCAGCAGCCAACTAGTGGCACCTGTGTCCAGTCCAGCTCCTAAACCAGGGCTGGCCCGTGGCACACTCAGTGGATGTTTACTGACTAAATAAACGAGACCTAGGGCTTAGTCCCAACCGCCACTCTGGGTAAGCACCTCATGCCTTTTACACAAGAATGCGATGTATTCCACACCCGCGCAGACAGAACCGGGATAAACTCGGGATATTGGCTCAAAGAGCTCTTCCAACAGCCTGTTTTTCACTGCTCATTGATTTAAAGACGGAACAAAGTATACAAAAATATATTTTGGCTGTCGGAGTGTGAGTCTCATCAAATCAGAGCATTACGGGCCTTGTAGACAGCAAAAAAGCAGGCCTGGAGCGGGCTCACAAAGCACCCTTCTTCCTCGCACAGCGTTCCCCTCTGCCGCACGTGCACGCGCCACCTGCAAGCCGTGGGTCCCAGACACCTGGCTTTCAATCTTGGGCTGGCCCCTCCTCAGCCCGGTCAGGTGCCGGGAACTGAGCAGTTCGGTGCCAAGCCGGGGGGCGGGAGCGCGGGCCGCTCTTCCCGGGCGCTCAGGGCACACGCGAGCGAGTCCTCACCTGGCCTTAGGGGGACCGCAAGGACGCTCCTCCTCACCGCGCGGGGCGGGGCCTTCGGAGACGGAGGCAACGGCTGAGCTCGGCCAAGCCGGGGCGCGGGCCCCCCAGCCCACCCGACACGTCCCCGCGCCGCGCTCACCGCCCCCGGCCACGCGGCCCGCAGCCCCAGCCACCGCACGACCGCCGCCATAGCCCGCCGGCACTTCCGGGCCTGGAGGCATCTGCTTCCGGGGCGCCGCTGAGCCCCGCCCCCGGCGCACGCGGCGCTGGCGGCGCGGGCTTCCAGCTCCGCTGGCGGCCGGACCATGGACGCGCTGCCGGCCGACGTGTGCGCTTTCCTGCGCGAGCACCCGAGTCTGCGGCTGGAGCCCGGCGCGCACAAGGTCCGCGGGGCCGGCGGGGGAGGCGCGGGCACCGCTCGGTGGCCCCCGGGCCCCCTGACCCCCTCGCCCGCCCTCCGGCCCGCAGGTGAAATGCGTCCTCACTGGCCACGAGCTGCCCTGCCGTCTGCCCGAGCTCCAGCTCTACACCCGCGGCAAGAAATACCGGCGGCTGGTCCGCGCCTCCCCGGCCTTCGACTACGCGGAGTTCGAGCCGCATATCGTGCCCAGCACCAAGAACCCGTACGTGCGCGGGGGCCGCTGCAGGCAGGGTCCCGAGTGGGGACAGGGCCGAACCCCACCCTTTCCCGCCGGGTGCGCGCTCCTCGAGGCCCCGGAGCCCAACTTCGTGTGGGAGAGGCGACTTGACGTCCAGGTGGGAGGCTAGGCCCCTCCCTGGTGCCCGTTTGATGTTTGTAAGGCTCAGGTTTGTCACCCGGGCTTGTCTGCTTCAGAGAGGAGCTGGAAGGCTTGCGCTTTGTCACCTAAGGTTCTGAATGGGGTCAGTTTCACATATTTTAAGAGAACCTTGGTGTAGCTGAACGTGTATGCTCGACAGCGGTTGAAGGGAAGAGGGCGAGGGGGGGTGCTCCCGTTCATCCAGCGCCTTGCCGGGCCTCGTTTCCCACGTGCATTTGCCTGTGCGGGAGCCGTGTGCGGAGGCTGGCCAGGCCTGTGTCCCAGGCAAATGTCGAGAGCTCACAGCCCGTCTGGATCAGTGTTTCTCCACCCCGCTGCAGTGTGGAATTGCTTGCTGCCCAGGCCACCTCCTCGACCTCTGCTGTCAGATGCAGCTGTGGTGGAGGGCCACCGATGTCGATCCCCGTGAATGTCCCTGCTGACTGAGGTTTCCCTGTCCCCTAGACACCAGCTGTTCTGCAGACTCACCCTGCGGCACATCAACAAGTCCCCAGGGCACGTGCTGAGGCACACCCAGGGCCGGCGGTACCAGAGAGCTCTGCATGAATGTAAGTAGCCACGGGCGGACACGGCCTGCCTCACTTCACAGGTATTTGGGGGCCTGCCTGCCCCTTCTCCAGGATGAGTGCCCATCAAAGGCACAAGTGGTGTTTCAGTCATCCTTGGGCAGCAGCTGGTGGTGCAGTGGGCTCCGAGGTCACCACAGGCTAGCGAGAGGGCCGCCAGGAGGCCCCGGGGAGACTGAGTTTCTGGGCTGAGACTTTAGGGACATGGGGAGTAGAGGGAAGGATTCAAGCAAGGTCAGAGGCAGAGAAACACTTGGCTGCAGGAGCTCCTGAAAGACGGCCCCTGTACCACCGTGCAAGGTGGGGTCAGCAGCGTAGGTGGGGGCAAGAACACACAGGGCCTTGGAGGTCAGGACCACGTGAAGTGGGGAGGCATTGAGAGGACTGAAGCAGGGCCTGGCACGTCACTTTGTGTGTCAGGGTCACTGTGGCTCTGAGGAGGGGGGGGCGGGAAGGAGTGGAAGAGGGGACGCTCAGTGGCTGTGCATGCAGTCAGGTGAGGTGACCATGGCTGGGGTGACCAGGTGTTGGCAGGGAAGATGTGCACGGGGTAGGATCAGTAGGTGAGGGAGTGAGGGAGGGGAAGAAGTCAGCTGGGACCCCCGAATTCCTGGTTTAGGAGAGTGGCATCTGGATGACAGGATTTGTGGGAAAATGAAATGTTCCTGTCGTGTGTCAGGATGGCCACTGACAATAGGGGCCAGCACTCAGATGATGCACGCCACTGACGCAGAGGTGGCATTTGCATCCACAGAGCCATGAAAGAAGGGACAGGGCCAGGCCTGAGCACGGAAGGAGCCCCAGGAGGGAGGGAAGCAGCCAGGTGGAGTGGTGTCATGTCGGGGGCAGAGGTTTCGAGAGTGGTAGACTCTTCTCAAATGTTCCTGAAGGGAAGGTAGGGGGAGGACCAGATGGGGCAGTAAGGGGGGCTGGGGGATGGAAACACAGGCAGGATGAGGAAGAAGACTCTGAAGGCTGTTTCCCCAAAAAACGAGGCCGTCTTCACCTAAGGGTAATAGTGAGGGTTGAGAAGTAGGGATCCCACGCAGGTGCAGAGCCTGAGGGCTGCTTGGTGTGGCGGCAAAGGGAGGACTGGGTTACTCCATGAACAAAAGAGTCATCTTAACGTTGGAGTGTGTGGCTCACAGGACCAGTGGCCAGAAGGAGCCGGAGCCTGGCAGCCTGGCTGGGGATGCAGAGAGGGGACACTGGGTGCAGGGTCCAGTGGCAGGGAGGCCATGTGGTACCACGGAGTGGGTGGCAGAGATGATGCAAAGGCTAGGACCTTGAAGGTGGGCAGAAGCAGGCAGTGACATCAGAGACCAGAGCCCAGTCCCCCTTCTCCCTCCACCTGAGGGGGCTGCACTGGACAGGAGAGCCATGCCCACACAGGGCAGGTTTCAAAAGCCAGGCCTGTCGGTGCCACCCTGCTCCTCATCGGTGCTCAGTCTGCATCTGCCACGCTGAGTGCCTGGCCTCCCCAAGTCCTCCATACACGGGAGTGTGGCTCCGGCGTGGAGGCCTCATCCCGGTGCCTCTGCTCTGGGCCAAGGGCCCGACTCCCACTGAGCGCCGCCAACCAGTGTGGGGGCCCAGCCGGCACGCCTGAGGCTTCCTGGGGCCAGGCTAGGGCTGGGGGTTCAGTGCTCAAGGCCCAGCACAGCCCTGCATCTTATCACTCCACGGCCGGCACCCCTGCTGGCCTCCTTCCTCTCCTGGTAGGAACTGATCCAGTTTTTACCCAGCAGAGTAGGGTACAGGTCCTGGTGGAGCTTGGCTCCGCCCCGGGGAACTGCGGGGCAGACCCAGAACCAGGCAGTGTGCTGGCCTGTCCCCCAGATGAGAAGTGTCAGAAGCAGGGTGTGCGGTACGTGCCGGCCTGCCTCCTGCACAAGAGGAGGAAGAGAGAGGACCAGATGGATGGCGCCTGGCCGCCTCACCCGAGAGAGACCTTCTGGGAACCCGTGTCTAGCGAGGACGATGGCGCAGCCGCGAGTGACAGTGACGACAGTATGACAGACCTGTACCCACGTAAGTGGGCCTCCCCCCCACCCCCTTCCCGCAGGTGTGGGTCCTGGCTGCCTGCTCCGTTTTGAGTTTGCAGCAAGTGGGCTCCAGCCTCCGTCCCTCCGTCCCTCCCAGCGCGTGTCCTCAGGTCCTGGGCCCTGGCTGGCCACTCCCCCCTCAGCCCTGCGCAGACCATGAGCCTAACCTGAACCGGCCCATCCCTCCATTCCTTCCAGCTGAGCTGTTCACCAGAAAGGACCTGGGAGGGACTGAGCCTGGGGACAGCACCGATGACTTTTTGACAGAAGAGGAGGGCGAGAAGCCAAGGCGTGCCGCAGAGAAGGGCCCCGGGACCGGAGAGGAGACTGAAGTGGCCCGGGCGCTGGTCCGCAAGCGCGGGAAGGTGAGGGGCAGCTTCTTCTGGTGGTAGTTTGCCGTTTCCTTTACAAAATGTTAGAAAGAACCTTGTTTTTGCAAATGAATGCCAAGCTAACAGTTAATAGGAGCCAAGGCCGCCCTGCCCTGACGAGGGTGGGCTCCTTCCCGGTTCGAGGCTCCACGGACAGATTCTGAGGGCTGCCGAGTGCAGCAGGGAGCCCGTGGGGGACTTGTTTCCAGACACGGCCCATTGCCATGAGGCAGTGACCAAGGTTCTGGTCCTGGGTAGCTGAGCAGGGCCGGGGCTCAAGAAGGTCTAGGCCTCTTGTGAGGCTGGGGACGTGGGGAGCCGGCCTGTCTCCGCGGGCGGGCGGGGTGCCCCTCACAGGGCCCCTTCCTCTCAGACAAGGAAGGCTTACAAGCTGGAACCCTCTGTTCATGTTCCAGAAGCAGGTGAGCTCATCGAAGAAGAAGTTCAAAAGTCATCATCGTAAAGCTAAGAGCTTCAGCTCTTTTAAACAGTCCAGTTAATAAACGGCTGTGGAGAGAGCACGTGTTGGAAGCTTTTCGAGAATCCTTCAGACACTTGACCCCCGTGGTCCTTTTCAAGCCGTCTGCGGTGCGTCCTCTCGGCTGCTGGGGTGTCCCAGGGCCTTCTCCCTCCACTCCGCGTTTGCTGCCCCCAAGGGTGGGGCTGGGGGTCGGTCCCACAGGTGTCAGGGGCACGGCTCCCCATCCCCAGGAAGCAGCAGAGACCCCACGGGAAGAGTTCTGGCTGGACGTGGCTTCTAAGTGCTCCTCAGCGAAGCCTAGAGGGTTTTTCAGGCTCGCTCGGCGTCCAAGGAGAGGCCTGCCCAGGCCCCACCCCAGCTGGACAACACCAGAGGATCACACTGCATACAACAAATGCCATTATTTATTTTGATGTTTCCAAAAATCAAAACGTTTTCAAACACAACTAAGATATAAAATACAGCGTAAAATGAGATTTATACCTACTTCCCACATAAAGCAAAAAATTTTTCAGAAATTGTTTTGCCAAAAGCCAATTGATGGTATTTTTCTTTCCTCCCTGCAAAGGCATCTACCCCATCCCAGGCAGTGGCCTGCTCAAGGCTGGGGGAGGCCGGAATAACTTCTGGCACGGAGGGTGACCTCTGACCACACCCCTCAGCCTCCTGGGGTCAACCTGTTTCTACAAACCAACAAAGGCCTTGCGAGCACAGGGCCAAGAAGGACCCGTACCCTGTCAAAAACTGTAGAGAGGAACAGACTTGGCCGAGTGTCCTTTGAGAGGACTGCCGTGCTGTGCTGACGGGGAAGGGGGTGGACCAAGAGATGGCCCTACCAAGGCGGAAACATGGAGTCAGAAACCACCCTTCGTGTGGTGAGCATCCTAGTGCTGGGAAGTAGAAAAGCCCTCTGTCCGTAAGCCATTGTTTTCATCTTCGAAAGGCCAGAGGGATATACAAATGGGCCGTGGGCAAGGGTTTAGGAACATGTGGGATGAGCCTCCACAGGGGCTGGGGCACAGGCACGGGATGCCACCCTCAGGTCTGGTGGGTCCAGGCTGCAGAGCCAGGTAAGGTTCTAAGAGCACTGGGGGGCAAAAGCGGGGCAGGTTCCCCACCTCACACTGGCTCTGGTCTGGCTGGTAGATGTGGATCCCGGCTTGGGACTGGCCCCCAGCACCCCCAGGGGTGACCCTCAGGCCTGCACATCTAACTGATGAGCCAGGAGAAAAGACGAGCTTCAGGCAGTCCTCGTTCCACTTTGGTCAGCCTGCCCCCAAGAGGGTCTGGGGAAGGCCCGGGGGGAGGCACCAAGATGCCCCACTCTCCCCTCATGGCGTCCGCTACGGCCCAGCAAGCGGAGAAGAGCAACGGGCGCTCATACCCCCAAGAAGAGAAACGCAGTATAAGGCAATGTTAGAAACCTTTAAATACAGGATTAAGATCCAATCGGTAAGGCATCACAAATTGTAAAAAGTAATTTGGGCTGCATTCAGCATAGCAAATAGACAATCGGAGCAAGCGACAGCCTCGTGAGGATGGTAAGTCGCGGCTGCACAGCCTGGGAAGGATCCCTCCAGCCAAAGGAGAACCGGGCGGGGCGCTCAGCCAGGTCAGAGCTGTGCCCAGGGCTTCAGCAGAGGCTCTGTGTAAAGGTCGGGGGTGAGGTAACTGGTCTGAGAGCCGGCTTTGTTGCTGCCCTGCCCCACGCAGCTGCCACTCGGCCCACGCCCCTCACATGGGAGCCAACCTGCAGATGTGTGGCCAGGCCAGGGTCGGAGCATGGGTCCCTGCAGAGGACTTGGGAGCGCCTCCGTCCCCACCTTGAGCCACTAAAGCTCCCGGGGGTTTGCCCTCTCAAACCTTGGCCCCAGTCTCAGGCGGTTTTCTGATGAGTGACTTCCACCGTGGGCAGTGGCCGCGGCCACCCCTCCAGTGCAGCGTCATTCTTTGGGTTTGGGTCTCTCTAAATGCCGTCACCGGTCCCGCAAGTATTACAGTGCGGGGCAGGGCCAACTCGGAGCCGTGGGTGTGGTTTAAAACCAGGACTTGGACAGTGTGTTTGATGTTGGGCTGGGCCATCCGGAATCCTTTCATTTTAGTTAAAAACGTAAACTGAAAAAATAAGAGGGAAACTGCTTTGAAGGATACACAAATGTATCTGCTCACAGTACAGCTTGAGGCCCCCACCCGTGAACCAGAAACAAAATAGGAAGTGAGGCCCCAGCCAAGCCAGCCACTCGCTGTGAGAAGCTGAGGCCTTGCCTTGGGGAGGGGGAGAAGGGGGTAGATAACTGCCGTCCAGCCGGCCAGCTCCGAGGGTCAGATTACTAGGTTGTGGGTCGGTCCAGAGCAAATTTAGCCATCAATTTTCAGGTGTCTGCAAAAAACTCTCAAAACATCTGTGCCTTTACCAGGAGGGGAGGGAAGAGGGTACATAAATGCTGGCAGTTTTGTCGAATCCACCCCGAACCAGTCCTCGATGGCCACGGGTCTCAGCCAGGCAGGGAAGGGGTCTGTTACCACTCTTTCTTCTTCTCATCCATGGAGACGCCCCCGGGACCCAGGGCCACCACCAGGAGCAAGCCTCCGATCACCGACATGGTCTGGAAGAAGTCGTACTTCAGGAAGTCGTGCATGGGCTTATAGACAGGAATGGTCCAGAAGGCGTTGAAATACACGTTGATGGCAAACAGCCAGACGACAAGAGTCAAAGCAGCCAGCTTGGTTTTAAAACCAATGGCCACTAAAATCATCAGAGCTGTGCCCACGATGTTCTGGAGAATCTGCATAGGTCGGAAGGTGAGAAATACCAAAATAAAAAAAAAGGGGGGTGAGGAAGAAAAGACATACCCTGTTTCATAAATGGGCAAGTTCCAAGTGCCCTTGTCACTGTGGTAGGTGTCAGGGTGACATCAGAGGGGCATGCATTCAAGTGAGCAGTACCAACGGGGGGTGGGGGGAGTGGGGGGCAGCACATACAAGAACGCTCCAAAGCATGAGCAGTCAGGGCGAGGGTAAAGGAAAGCCTCCTGTGAATAGGCTGTGATTTACCAGGACACACTCGGGTCTGAGCCTGTGGGCCTGCAAGCCATCAAGATATTCCCCAGTACTTCTTAGAACCGGGCTCCCCCCTCCCAGGAACCTCTCCCAGCCAGGGCACCCAGCCGGTTCTAAAGATGTGCGCTGTAAGCTCCTGGGGACAGGACCGAACCTGCAGCTCTGCAGCCAACACCCAGCATGCACACAGTACGTGACAGAGGTGTGAGCAGTGGGCAAGGGAAGAAGTAGTCTGTAAAGAGCCTGGGTCGGCAGCTGGGGAGTCAGCATGTCAGGCAGCGGGTCCCCCAGTGAGGTCAGGGAGATTCTCGACTTCTTTTGTCCAGTCTGGGCCCACAAGAGCTTGTGGGTTTTTATTCCTTTTAATAGGATCAAAGGTTTGCTTCCTTTGAACCAACTCGTTCCAACATCATTCCAACAGCCCCTCGACTGGCTTAGTACACAACCAGGGAAGGGGGTGGGGAGCAGCACCCCTTCCACAGATAGGAGACCTGACCCATTTAAGCGAACAGGAACACTCACCGAGAAGAAGCTGGCGTCAAAGTGAAGGAGGGTCATGAACATCAAGACCAGCAAAACCCTGCCTCCGAGCTGCATGTACTGTTTGGGAGAGCTCTCGCGCATGGTGGGAACGCCTGCGAACATGCTCTTCCCTTCGGAACGGGACTCCGCTAGGAGCAGCAACAAGCCTCCTCCCAGGGCCAGATTCCTAGGAACAGACACACCGGTGAGTCACTAAGGCTCACCAGGCACGACACGTGCCCATCAGACCAGGTCGGGAGATCTTGGCGGGAGCACAGGAAAGGCCCTTAGGTCCCTCTCTCCAAACCACGCCAGACCAGCTGGGTGACTGCCTTATACCTGCAAAGGCCTTCCACGGCTGAGGACAGATGCGTCTGTTCTGCCGAGCAGTGACTGGAGCCTGAGCACACCCGGGCCACCCCAGCCCTGGCTCTACAGCCGACCAGCGCCACGAGCAAAGCGCGGTCATTCTGTCCCTCCTTCCCTCCCTCGGGGACACAAAACTGGGAGAGACAGCTTCATATGCCCCTGTGCTCGGGGTCAGGGGGGAGCTTCTGCCAACACCCCCTACAGACTCAAGCACACTTGGACCCGAAGAAGTTCACTCTCACTGCTAGCTCCTGAGTCAAGAGACATGGAAAGGAAGCTCACCATGTAGAGCACACGTACCTCATCAAAAACTTCAAGTCCCATAGGATGCTGTAAGCAATCGTCTGGAGGAAACAGAACAGACAGAAACTGGAGTCTCAGCATTTTCAAACCCATTGAGACTTCTATAGAGTTAACTGCAGTAAGCAATTTCTCCCATGTAAGTGTGAGTGTAAGATACACAAACGGTTTAGGACCCCAGGACGGCTCCAAATTCAACAATCTGGCTCAGCATTTCTCAGGGCGTGCTCACCAGCCCGGGCGTGCTTAACAATCACCTGCTCACCGGAGTTGTGCCCAAGGTGGGCTGGAGCATGGCAGCTGAGGGCACCGATCCAGTTCACGTGCTATGTGTTACACAGCTCACGCGGCTAGCTGGGCATTATTTACAAGGTAAAATGATAAGATAATGTCTTGGCTGTAGCCAACCTTGTGATTTGTCCTCCTGTCAAAGGAAACTCAGGAAGGTGGCAAAAAGGTGGATACTCAGAGCTTGGCACCTTCTCGGAGCACCATCCTCTCCCACTCCCCTGAGCTTGCTTTGAGGAAAATCCAGTGATTTCTCAGAAAAGAAAAGGAGGTCCAGGCAGAGGGCTCAAGCAGGGAGTGAAGCTGAATCCCCAGAAATGCCTTTTTGCAGAAGCTCTGCTCCAACCACAGCAAGGAAGAGAGAGACCCGGACGGCTCGTCCTGTGTACCTGTAGTGCTATGATCCCAAAGAGCCCAAAGCAGGCATACTGCACGAAGTTCCTGCTCAACACCAGGATGCAGCCAGCTGGAAAGGAGAAGGGCAAGGGTCAGGGGGCTGTGGGCGAGTCCCGGGCGAAGAGACGTCACCGGGTCCCTGGCCACCTCACCTGAGACCCGTGCACCGGCAGCCCCACTACCCACCCCAAGGAAAAAACAACTTCCAGAGAATTGGTGAGAGGCACAGACCACACACAGGTCAACTGGACCTTACTTATCAGAAACACCGTTCTAGAAAGTGGATCCCTTGCTCCAGAGAATGGGCCCTTTTCCAGAGTGGGTGGTCCATCAGAAACTCTGCTGTGGAGAGCTTAGGGACAGGCTGAAAAACGCAGGCCCCTTTCCTGCCCCACAAGGTACAAGGGAGGGGGGCTGCCACCAGAAGGCCGTGGTCGGGAGCAGAAGCCCTGAGGTCCATGTGAGCTGTATTCTTCCAGCCTAGCGCTCACCCTTTCCCAACAGCCTGGGTTCTGACAGCTCTGGCTCCTATCCGGCCCACCCGGATTCCCCGCATGTCCCGCTCCAGGTGCTTGAAACCGGAACCATGTCATCTGTCTGTAGCAAGCAGAGCACCCACCCGGAGGCCCACTGCCGGGGAAGGAGGGGAGGGAGAGGCCAGCCGTCCCAGGAGACCCCCGGAGACACGCTCTGCCCCGCCCGCCCCCTGCGCCCGCGCTTCGGGGCCACTCACTCAGCTGCCCGAGCAGGTTGAGGAGCACGAAGGCGGAGGCCAGCGCGTAGCCGCAACCCCACGTGGTGTCGATGTAGTCGCGCTGCTCGCCCCACTGGAACCACATGCGGACGCCGTCCTCCAGGAACGTGCTGATCAGGCAGAGGCGCGCCACGTGGGGCAGGTACTGCTTCGTGACTCGGAGGAACTGCGGGCCACAGAAAACCAGCTGAGGCGGCTGCGGGACGGATGCTGGACGCCGGGGGGGGGGGGGGGGGTGCGGCGCAGGGACCCTCAGCACCTCTCCCTGCACTGCCCTACCGGTCTGCAGGTGCCACCGGCCTGTCTGGCTCAGACCCCCGGGGCGATGGCCACAGTGCCCTTCTGGGATCCCCTGTCCTCTCAGCACCCATGTGTAGACGGCAACGACACACAGCATGCATGCTCAGGCGAGGGCCTTGGTGAGTTAGGATCACTGTGTGACAAGGCCCCGTGAGCTCACCGGGGGGCAGCCTCCCCACCTGCACCCCCGGACATCTGCACGGAGTCATTATCGTGGGCTGGCCTGCACCGAAGGGTGGTGAGCGGCATCCCTGGCCTCTGCCCACCAGATGCCATTAGCAGCCCCCCTCCAATTGTGACAACCAAAAATGCCTCCAGACAGTGCCACGTGTCCCTTGGTGGGGGGACAAAACTGCCCCCACTCCTTTGAGAACCTCTCCTTCTACAAACGGGCAAGCTGAACCCCACAGGGGAGAGGGGCTCGCTCAGCGTCGCACCGACCCCACGCTGCCGGGCTGAGGCTCGACCTGGCCTCCTGGTCACACACGGCTGGGCCCTGGCCTCCCAGCATCCCCGACGAAGCTCAGACCGCCTCTGGACCAAAGAGAGCCACGCACACTCTTGAGACAGCAGGCCGCTTAGGTGACAGCCAGGGTCCCAGGCCTAGAAGAGGGCCTCTCAGTTGACCCAACGGTAAGCTCACGTGTCTACACTTGGCCAGAACCTGTGGAGCAGTCACGCGTGCATTTTCCGGCCCCTCCCGGAGCCCGCACCGGACAGAAGGTGGGCCACTGTGTGCCAGCACTGGGAGTGCACCCGTGGGACTGGTGCGGCTCACCTCCACAGCCCTTCAAGTCTCTGACAAAGACACACTCACAAACGGATGGACAACTGTGTCAAGAGCAGCAAAATTCAAGTTCGGAAAATCACTGGCAAACATCAGAGAGAAAACACATTTAGAACTTCCTCCTGCCCCGCCACGAGGTGGACCATTAAACAACAGCATGGGTAAGAAACAAACACGGGAGCTGAATCGGGGCACCAATGTCCCTTGGGTCCCGGCAGCCACTTTCTCTTTCCAACCTCGAAACAAAGTGCAAAGGGAAACCCTACGACACACGGTAACAGCCACTCTCGGGAGGCTGGGACCCACCCAGTGACGCGTCAGGCAGCAGAGTCTAAAGGGCATCTGTGAGTCTGGCCCCCACAAAGGGACGGTCAAATGAACGTCACAGCCCCTCTTAGAGCTGATGAAACCTTATTGGCACCAACGAAGGTGTATCTAGTATCTAAGAGCATCTCTTAATTGTTGGCGTTTTGAAAAGCTGCTTTCAAGTTCTAGAAACAGCTGATGCTCTCAGCCGTGGGTAATGAGCCTCTCTGGCTGTTTCGATCAACCCTTAGTTGGCCAACTTTGGTTCGGTCCACAGAGAAGCCTCCCCTCCCCCTCCCCCTGGGCCACAGCAGACAGGTCATGGGGGGGAGATTACAGGCAGCTGTCCTTTCTCTTCAGATCTACTGAGCATGATTGAGCCCCAAGGTGGCGCTTCTGCATACGTTTGCTCAGCCCTTGACCGCAGAGGTCACCTGAGAGACAGATGCCTAGACAATGAACCAGGTGCATCTGTGAAGACGAGGCTCGGTGTGAGCACCGCCAGCCCGTGCCCCGTGGCCGTGGACAAGCCGAATCACTTCCGGAGGCCGGGGAACGGTTCTGCTATCCTTCTACAAAGTGAGGACAGCTGGATTAGTGGTTGCTAAGACTCTTTCCAACTTGAATAAGCAGAGGAGAAAAAGGAAGGAGAAAGAACCTTGTTTAGAAAGAGAGGCCTCGAATGCCCCTGTGAACACTGGAGTCTACGTAGAGCACACATAAGACATACGTACACTTGGTGTCCACACACCCCGGCATCAGACCAGGAGGGACAGCGGACGCCACCAACCCTGCCACTTCTGCCTCAAGGCCCCCAAATGTTTTCATAAGGCCCAGCAACAATCAACGGTAGAATCGCTCCCAGTCAGTCCGTAGAGACACACAGACTGCGGCCACTGTGGGACTCCGGAGGAGGCTGAGCCCAAAAGGCAGGCAGGCCGACATCGGCGGGGTGCTGAGCTGCCCCGAACTGGAGCTGAAAGGCGCTCCTGTGCTCCCCAGTGAGGAGCAAACAAGCCCGGACCCTTGGGCCTCACTCGGAGCCCCCTCCCTGTAAGTACCCCCATTTAACACACGCACTGCTCCGCAGCACGGCCCAAGAGACACAGGTAGTGTTTAAAAGCCTCCGTGAGGAGTCTGTACTCCTAATTTGAGTGTCTGGGTCAACAGGATTAAAGAGCAACGGGGAGACTCCTCCCTTCCCCATGAGACATGCTGAGGAGACAGCTCTGGGCTTAGGGGAAAAAATGCCAAAATTCAGGTTATCTGTGCTGTGAACTAAGCATATATCTCATTTTCAAAGTCAGATGCGGTCTGGGCTTAGGGCTGACTATATTTTGTAAGTCAGGCTGCTCCAGAGCCTCTTTTTTTTTTTTTTAAGGTTTTATTTATTTGACAAAGAGAGCACGTGCACAAGCAGGGGGAGAAGCAGGCTCCCTGCTGAGCAGAGATTTCCCGACGTGGGGCTTGATCCCAGGACTCTGGGATCATGACCTGAGCCAAAGGCAGATGCCTAACCAACTGAGCCACCCAGGAGCCCCTAAACATAGTTTTTTTTCTTCCATGTTCAGTCTAAACAGGTGCTTATTAGAGGCTGGCTGGTTTAAAAGAGGCTCTAGAGGGGTGCCTGGGTGGCTCAGTCAGTTAAACGTCTGCCTTCAGTTCAGGTCATGGGTCCTGGGATCAAGCTCCGCATCGGGATCCCTGCTCAGCCGGGAGCCTGCTTCTCCCTCTCCCTCTGCCTGCCGCTCACCCTGTTTGTGCGCGTGCTCTCTCAAATAAATAAAAATCTTAAAAAAAAAAAAATGGTTTAAAAAAGAAATAAACACGAGGCCGGACCCAGTTTTACAGATTTCCTGAACGCGTGTCGGTCACAACGGTTCAGACTTGGCCACTGAATCCACATCATGCATCTGTGGACAGCATCCCCTTGCCACAGCAGGGAAGAGCCCCTGAGTCAGGCATCCGGCAGCACCCAAGAGCCCAGAGCAGTCCCCTGTCCAGTGCACACGCAGCACCGGCTTCCAGCTCGCCAACAGGCCCTGCAGGCCAGTGCTGCCCGCTGCGGACGCCAAGACCCACCACTGCCGAGCACGGGAGAGAATCATGGCAGCAGAGTGGGAGGTGGACACCGAGCAGGGACAGACTGCAGGACAGGACGGCCAGTCTCTGTGGGGCTGGCTTTTCACAGGCATCTCCAAGAACCTTGCAGTCAAGCGTGATACGGCTCATAAGCAGTGACAGCATCTGAGGGACTCAGGCAATACAGAAAGCTGAGATTTCCGAGGGGTTACTATTCTGGAAGGGATTTCAGAAACATACACCGCCAGCACCTTAACTCTGAAAACACAGTGATCACATCCCACAGCCACCTGCAGCCCCGTGCAACACAGAGAACCCTACTTTTTGAGTATTCGGGATGGAAAGGACTGGAGGGAAACAGTGTGCAATTCTTGGTGGAGAACTCTGAGGAAGTGGAAAAGGGCGAGTCAGACCTTCTGATCGCCAGACCAGGGCTGCCGCCAGGGACTGGAACTGCCCTTCTCAGGGGCCACCTCAAGCCTACACATCCCAGATAATTAGAACCTGTGGTTGGGTGACTTCCTTCCCATCAGGCTGAGTCAGGGCTGAGGCAAGAGTTCAGTGACTCACACGTGTGCATCGACCATGGCCCCAGAGCTCCCCCAGCAAGTCTCCTGGAGTGCTACTCTGTGGGTCCATGCTGCACCTCCAGGTACAGGAACAAGTCAGCAGGCCTGCAGATGGCCTGCCTTTCTGTACCAAAACCCCACGTGACTAAGAGCCTAACCATAGGTGAGCGGTGACAGGTCACGTGGAAGAGAACAGAGCTGTGCTTCACTTTCCAGGAGAAGCCTCGCTGACCACAGTCCCCCCACATCTCCACCCCGCTCCCCAGAAGAGACAGGGTGGCTTTTCTTAACCTAAGACGGGCAAGCAGGGAAGAATGAGCTCTCCCTGCCTTCTCCCCTCGCTCCTGATAGCACAAGGCAGGAAGCCCTGGGAAGGAAGGGGGCACAGAGCAGAGGAACGAGGAAAGGATGCTCAGAACCCACCGTTCCCAGAGCCCTACTCCCACCCAGCGGCCATCCACGCAGTGAACCCAGAGCCTTAACACCCGTGCCGTACGTGCGCCCCGGCACTGTTCTGTCGGGGCCATCCTACCTACCCACCGCTTGACCAGAGGCCACAGGGAGCTCCTGGGGGTCAGAGCTCCCAGGACTGGCTCTCTCATGCCAAAGACAGGTAAAAACCAAAGGCCCCACTGGAGAGCAAGGCCCCATTCAGCTTATCTGTCACCTTGGTGATGAGCTGTCAGGCCGAACCCATTAAGTGCTAATACTCCTGTTTACTGGTGCAGATGTGCTCGGGGGTTACATTCTGCTGAATGGCAGCGAGCACCAGCTGCAGGACACAGATGTCATTTTGGATTGCTGAGTTCATTGGTCTCTGGCTCCTTCCAACCTGGTCTCAGATGGCTTCCGGATGCCTAGCGTCTGCAGAGGGCACGCTCAGCATTTTCTCTAGCGCCTGGCTTCCTGGGAGCAGGACACTGTCCCTGGCTGCCCGGGGCAAGGAGCCTGATGCCAGGGATGCAGCTCTGCAGGAGCCTCCCAGCCAGAACTAACCAGACAGTTGACCCTGTGCTCTCACCTCTGCAGGCCTGAAGGAAAGGGTGCGGGACAGCCAAGAGGCGAGGAGCCCAGCCTTCGGTACTCAGAACTTCAGCCCACCATGTGCCGTGCAAGACCACCCTCCCCGCGGCTGAAGATGGAGGCACCCTGGCCAGCCCCACACGCTCCGGTAACACAGCCCTAAGTATGGAGGACCTGGCCCAGAGTTAGTGTCTTGGGATTCTTGTCTTAACTCCTGGAGGAAACAAAGGCCTTTTTAGGTTCCCTCGCAGCAACCCAGACTTCCTGGCCAAATCCTGTCATTTGATTTTTGCTTCTGTTTTCTGAAGACAAGGTTAGAAAAAAACGGGTATGTCACATTACCTGATCAGTGCCTTTGACATTTCCCCATTCCTTTCAAATGAAATCATTTTCAGTCTAAAAGCCTAGACTCTCAGCACCTTTATCATCGGCGGCTTTGTTTTAATATTATGTGGATAAATGTTAAAAACAAAAACGCCATGGTAGCTTGGCCAGATTTTGTCCACGGGAAGCTATCACTTTGGATCTGCACTCTGATCTGCCCACATCCTCCTGTGTCGAGCCTGACTGTGGCAGAAGCAGCTCCCGACTCTGGTTTTGAAGTGCACGAGGGCCACTGCCCTCCTGAGTCCCCCACAAGGGGGCATGGAGGTGTCTTTGGACATCTGCTGCCACCAGCCAGGTGGGCCGTGGTGCTGATAAGCCAAAAGCGGGAGCCCGCGCTGCCTGACAGACACAGCGCTGGGCCGCTCTGGGTGCTGGGTTTGACGCAGCATGCCCCTTTACAAGGCCAGTCCTTTTCCCTCTTTTTGTGCCAGAAGAACACCAGGCCTCAGAAGCTTGTCCTATGTGGCATCAGCCTCAAAGCGAGGCTGGAGTCTGGGTTTGCCCCCAGGGCCAGGCCCCAGGCCAGTCCAGAAGCCCCAGCAGGCCCTGCCTTCCTTCCCAGCAGTAATTTGGTGCAGGCAGACCCTGTGTCCCCCTCAAGGGCCTTTCCGGTTCCAAGATTCTGCTTCTTTAGTTTCAAACAAAATGCATGGAGAAAAAGAAGAGAAGATTACATAAAGAGGTTTTGAACTTTTTTTTTTTTCTGTAGGAAAGTTTATCATTTGATCGTTGGCAGCAGCTGGGTTAGAGACATTTTAGCTAGATTTGGTTATGAAATGCACTTGCAAAATCAGGGTTCTCCAAACTGAAGAGTGAGTATACAGAGCTCCCACAGTCCCCTTGGCTGAAAGGCGCCATCTTCTTAGGGAGTTGCTACTTGGGGAAATGAAATCGGGTCACTAAAACCATGTCAATGAAAACTGACAGGGAAGGCAGACCTACTTGGTTGAGAGCTCTTGGTATGAATTGTTTTTGTGAAGGATACAATTTTTAAACTGTGTCTGTAAACACAGAATTGTGACCTTAAGAAAAACTATTTCTTCAAGTTGATATACTTTTTCTCCCCCAAATTGGTTTTAAAATACCAGCTCACAGGAAAGTGATGGAAGGAGAACCCAAGTGGCAGACCACACTAGGAAGATTCAGCCCTCGAGGGGAACAGTGGAAAATCTTGCTCACCCGTACCTGATCAGAAAACACTCATTTATCTTTTTTTTTTAGATCACACAAACGAATACAAGCCTTCCAATAAACCTAAGCTTCAGAGTTTGATTACTTAATACTACTTCCATAAAAATTAAAAATTTAACCTCACTACTGTTAACTCTGGCAAGACCACAAGCACATTAAGTGAACTAAGGAATGAAATGGCAATTGGGCCAGACCTGGGTCGGCCTTGCAGGGATAAGGCTGTTAACCCACAAACATAATAGAATACTTGGACACTAAATACTCAAAAGCTTAATCAAAAGAGGGTGGAAGCTCTGTCCTTTCCTCCTTCTAGGGTCTGATTCTGTCCACCCGGTGTGTGTCAGCTGCCCTGCTTCAGCCTCCCTGTTGCTCAGAATGCCACCTGTACGCTCTGGAAGGGGAAAAAAAAAAAAAAAAACCCAAGAAGATAGGCTTCCCCTTCCTCCCAGGTTTGTGTACAGATAGATACCCATTCAATTCAGTCCCAGGGCAGAGTCCAAACAGGGAGGGAAAATGCTGGGAGGGTCAGAGGGACCCCATGAGTCCAACACATCTGGGAAAGAGCAAAGAAAAAAGTGCTGAGGCGCTCTGTGGCTAGGGCACATACCAGGGCGCCCCCTCTCCTCTGGGAGGACCCCCAGGCCTCCAGGCTGACCAACCCCTGTTCAGGATCAGAGCTCCCCACCCCGCCCCCTAAGGGTGCCAGGGAAAGGGGAAGCGTGCAGGGACCACCCCGACAGTTCAAAAGGGAGAGGGCGCTCCCCGGCCGCCAGACTTGGCCCAAACCAGCGGCGCCCCCCAGGACCCCGGGCTCCTTTCTCAGGAGGGGGCGAGGCAGCCCCTCAACACCCCTCTCCTTCTGGGAGCGCCCAGGCAGGTTCGGGGGGCTCGGCTCACCCACCTGGGTGCCGAAGCACGGGCCCGAGAACACACCCAGAGCCCTGGTGGGGAGGCGGCGCAAGGGCAGGCCGGGCCTGGAGGCCGGTCTGGGGGAGTCCCGGGCCGGGAAGCGCGACGAGCCCAGGAGGGCATGCCTTGGTTGGGGGAGGGGGCGCGATCCTCTGGCGGGGTCGGGGAGAGGGAGTAAGGGGGGACACGGCCCAGACCTCGGGGCAGCCCTCCGGGGTCGGGGGCCGGCTCTGGGGGCGGCCGAGGGCTCGGGGCCCGGGGGGGGGGGCCGGGGGAAGGGCGCTCCGGGCGGGGGCCGGGGGCGGGGGCGGGAGGCCCGGCGGGGCTGTAGGCCGCACCTGGTCGGCGAAGTCCTCGGCCGTGCCCATCAGGTCGTTCTGGCCCATGGCGGCGGCGGGAGGCTCGGCTCGCTCAGCTCGCTCGCTCGCTCGGCGCTCGGCCCTTCGGCGCCCGCGCCCGCTGCGGCCTCCACAGGAAGTGCCCGGCGGCCGGCCTCGCTCCCCGTCCGCGGCTCCAGCGCCTGCCACGTAGGCCAAGCCTTAAAGGGGCCGCGCCGCC